AGGAATAAGGGATCTTCCGGAAAAGGCTTTATTTTCCGAAAGATCCCGTCTAGACTGGCGCTTTTCTCCGGCAAACCCCTGAGCCGGAAAAAAGTGGCAGCCATGTTCATGCAAATGTCGCGGGGGATATTTAAATCCCCCGTGGCATTTGCAATTCCGACTGGTCTCATTAGCATCCCTTTTCCGGAAAAGGGTGCCAATGTAGACACAGCCGTGAGGTTTAATGTCTCACTGAAACATTTGAAGAATTAGCTGAACTTTAAACTTTCTCTGAATAGATGCAAAGAATTTTTCCCTTTTTGTGTGTTTTGCTCAGAAACGAGCTTGAAATATACAGTATTCATTATGAGGCAAAGATTTTTTAAAAGCTAAGAAAATACATATGCTTAAGCTTGAAATATACAATATTCATTGTGAGGCAAAGATTTTTTTAAAAGCTAAGAAAATACATATGCTTTGAAAATGGGTAGCTTTATTTTTATCCATGAATGATCCCCAAAAGGATTTTTTTTACCTTTATTGTGTATAGTTTCTTATACATTGTAGATTCAAGGGTGTTTCTTACCCGCCTGCAGTGTCTTTGAAGATGTAACCCCAGCCAGAGGGCGTGTTGCAGAATGGGCCTTGCACTAAGCCCAAAGTAGAGATGATGACACTGTATCCAGAAAATGCAATGCCAAGCAGGGCTAACACAACTGAAATGAAACTCTGAATTGATGAGAGAATATATGTTATCAGCACGAGGATGAAGTTTTCCTTAGTCACCTAATCAGAGCCACCCACCAAACAATGTGCCTTGGCTAGATTGCCAGGTTTTTACCTTACAAGCATGGTGATCAGAATTTCACAGGATATGGGATCAGGGGGACAAGAGGGAAAGCCACCCCCAACAACAGCATTTGCACTTTTGGGATTGTATCTTTAGGGGAAAATGTTAAATTTCTCCAGAGGGAAGACAGCTTTACTCTCATTGGCTTTTAAACTATTTTTGTAAACGTGTTGTGGGAGGCCAGGAGGACATCACAGCTCTCATTGGACATGTTTGTATCCCACTCAGCACTTACAAAGGAGATTATTTATTTTCTATCTAATTATTTCTAAAGGAAACAGGGATGCAAGGAGAGAGAGCAGCAATTCAGCACGAGAGTGGAAAGATAACAGTTCGCAGCCATCAGTGTTCTTCCTCAAGCCTCCTTTCCTGGAGACGTCACTTGTGCTGTTGGAGGAAGCAATCAGACTTGTGGTGACCAGTTGGGTCATCTCTAGACTGACCCAGGGTTCCCTCCTGAGTCCTAAGATAGAGAGAGGAAGGAACTAGCCAAAAAGAGGGAGTCAAAGGTTTGGCTGAGGGAATTTGGGGCCAGAGTACTTAGAATGAATGCTGAATAGAGAAACAAAAGACAAAACAAGACTCACCCTGTATGTTTTGTTACAACTCTCGCTCTGGCAGCATTGGTAGAAAGTGTCCCGCTCCAATGTTATTAGAAGTGCTGCTAACAGAAGCATCTGTAAGAGGGAGACTGTAAGATGAGTGGAAATAACACGACATAATGTGCCTGATTCTCTCCTGCCTGGGCACAGTATGTGTAAAATGCCACAGTTCTGAACTGCTAGCACTTTACACCCACTTTGCACAGAAACTGCAGGTGCAGGGCCAGTGGCATGGGAACATTTTCAAAAGTGGGAGTGCAGAGCCCTCTTGCTCCTATCCAACCCCACCCACAGCTGAGGCCAAGAGCAAAGCCCCAGCTCGCTTTGCTTTCGGCCCCAGAGATGGAAAAGCAATAAATGGAAAAGTTTTGAAATCTCTATTTAGGGTATTTCTAATTTTTTTGGTTGATGTTTCCCAAACCTCCAGCTTATCAGTGTTTTTCCTTTTGGAGTTTCTGGACATCCAGTAAATTTTCTCTGATCACCACAAGTTTGATATTTTTCAAAGGACTGATGTAAAAAGAATAAATACAGGGATAGTTTCAGAATTAGGTCTCATCTTTATTCCTTTAATATCCTTCCCTTTTTAATGCATTAGTAGAAAGACCTTACCAAACAGAATTGATATTAATAATATAAGACTCCTATCTAAACATATAAGATGGTTGTAGTTTTTTAACATTTTGTACTATGTTTAAAAAAACAAGAGGTACTACCACATCCCGTGGCTTGAAGTCATTTCTGTCATATACAGGATTTACAGTTTGGTTTACTAGCTCTCAGCATCCTCACATTGCAAAATATTCCCTGATGTTACCACAGAAAAGAATATTAAAAATCTTTTGGAAAAAAGTTATTGTGCACGATCTGCCACTGACTGTAATTTATTGACTTTATTGAAGTTTGTACACAGCATCAAAGTCTGACTGATTAAAGGTTACAGCATTGGCAGTAAGATTTGCAGTTACACATATAACAATTTTCACTTTTAGCATAACTCCAACCCAAGTGGATGGTTAGCCAGTCTACTCCACAAGTTTTGTTTATGTGACAAAAAGCATGAAAACCCACCTCCCAAAATCATGTTAAGAAAACACATACATGCCAGTTTTGTTCAGCTGTTTATGATGCTCATGATTTTTAAAGTTGATCAAATTTGCTGCTTATAAAATTAGCTAAAATAGTTTGTCTCCCCTTTTTAAAGCAAGATCTTAACACAATCGTGCTATGCTGCAGATGTAATTATGCTAAGATCATTTGCAGTAGCATTTATAATCAAAATCCACAGAACTGACACTTACCATCACACCAGAGAAACATATTCCTTCAAAATACCACACGTAGTTGGTGATCTGGCTACTGGTGGCATATGAAGTTTTCCCATTAGGGAAGTATAGCAGGATATTAACAACAATACTCCAAAGTGCAAGAGGTATCAGAAGACAACTCAAGCAGCCTCCGCATTTTTGTAAACCCATCTCTTAAGGACTTTAAATACTTTCGCTATTCTAAGCCCAGGCTGGCTATTTCTTTCAAAGTTGCAAAACTCTACCACCTTCTTGTTTTGATTCAGTCATTTTGTATTCATGGGAACCTGGTTGCTGGGGTTTGGTTCCAGTCAAATAATCCCACTGCAAAAAGAAGTGCTTTACTGTTTGTAGAACAAATGACAAAACATCACTGGCTGGAGGGCTAGTCTATCTCCTGTGCCGGAGCACATGACTATTTCTTTAAGTATCATTGTTTCCTTCTAAGGGCTATTCCTTAGGGAGCTTCAGATTTAAATGAGTGTCTAGAAGAGAATCTCAGGAAGGAACACAAGACTGAGTTATAACAATACCACCTTTGAGCACGTGTATATCACGTTTCATCTTCTAACACATGCCTTAGAAATATTAACAAAGTAATCCCCGCTGCATCTACACACAGCATACCTAGGAGGTAGGCCCTGGGCTGTGAAACCCAAAATGTAATACATTCTGTTGTCTTAGAACAGTCTTATGAAGTAAGCAGGTACTGCTGTTCAGGATCTGAGTTCTATTCCTGGCCCTCTTAAATATTCAGGTATGTCTAGACAACGTTATTTCGAAATAATGTAGTCCATGTCTACATAGCAGGCAGTTATTTAGAAACTAGCAAATTAGCCCACCATAAGACGGGATTTTCAGGTCTCTCCTCCACATCGGTCTTCTCTCCTGAGCCTCCGGTGTCTCTGTCTGTCTGTCTCTCTCCTCCTTCTACAGCCTCCCCCCCCCCCTCACCTCTTCCCCCCCCCCTCCA